ATATCCCTATTTGCTGACAACATGATCCTGTATCTCAGAGACCCAAAAAACTCTACCCAAAAACTCCTAGACACTATAAAACAGTTTCAGCAAGGTGGCAAGATACAAAATCAACTTACAAAAATCAATTGCTCTTCTATACACTAACAATGAACAAATTGAGAAAGAATATATGAAAACAATTCCATTTATAATAGCCTTAAAAAATCAAATACCTAGGAGTAAGCTTAACAAATCTACAAAGAACTACAAACCTCTGAAGAAAGAGATTGAGGAAGACTACAGAAGGTGGAAAGATCCCCTATGCATATGGATTGGTAGAATCAACATAGTAAAAATGGCTATACTACCAAAAGCAATCTACATGTTCAACACAATTCCCATCAAAATCCTAGTGACACTCATCACAGAAATTGAAAAATTTACCCTAATGTTCATTTGGAAACACAAGAGACCGTGAATACCCAAGGCAATACTCAGAAAAAAGAGCAATGCTGGAGGTATCACAATACCCAACTTCAAACTATATTACAAAACAATAGCAATAAAAACAGCATGGTACTGGCACAAAAACAGGTATGAAGACCAGTGGAACAGAATAGAGGACCTGGATATGAATCCACACAACTATGCCCACCTTATTTTTGACAGAGGCACCAAAAACATATGATGAAAAACAGACAGCCTCTTCAGCAAATGTTTCTGGGAAAAGTGGTTATCTGCCCGCAGAAACTGACACTAGATCCATGTTTATCACCCTGGACTAGTATCAACTCAAAATGGATCAAGGACATTAATATCAGACCCAAAACTCTGAAGCTAGTGCAGAAAAGAGCAGGGAATACTCTGGGAGCAATAGGTATAGCAAGGACTTCCTCAATAGAACCCCAGAAGCTCAGCAACCAAGAGAAAGGATGGACAAATGGGACTCTATGAAATTAAAAATCTTCTGCACAAAAACAAAAAAAATGGTCTCTAAACTGAAGACACCACCCATAGAGTGGGCAAAAATTTTTGCCAGCTACACATCAAACAAAGGACTGATAACCAGAATATACTGGGAGCTCAAAAAACTAAACTCTCCCTAAATCAATGAACCAATAAAGAAATGGGCAACTAAACTAAACAGAACTTTTTCAAAAGAAGAAATTCAAATGGCCAAAAACACATGAAAAAATGCTCACCATCTCTGGCCATAAAGGAAATGCAAATCAAAACCACACTAAGATTCTACCTCACCCCTTTTAGAATAGCTATCATCAGAAACACTATCAACAACAAATGCTGGCAAGGATGTTGGGGAAAAAAGAACCTTCATACACTTCTGGTTGGAATGCAAGCTAGTACTACCACTCTGGAAAACAATATGGAGGCTTCTTTAAAAAGTAAACATACATCTGCCATATGTTCCAGCAATCCCACTCCTAGGGATATACCCAAAGAATGCGACTTGGGTTACTCCTGAGGCACCTGCACACCCATGTTTATTGCAGCGCTATTTACAATAGCCAAGTTATGGAAACAGCCAAGATGCCCCACTACTGACGAATGGATTAAGAAAATGAGGTATTTATACACAATGGAATTTTACTCAGCCATGAAGAAGAATGAAATCTTATAACTCTCAAGTAAATGGATTGAACCATAGAACATCATCTTCAGCAAAGTTAGCCAGGCTCAGAAAGCCAAAAATTGTATGCTCTCTCTTATATGGAGACTTGACAACTAAAACAAATGCAGTAACATTATTAGACACGGGTCACACACTAAGGGGAGAACACATACAGGAGGAGTAGGGAAAGGCAGGAAACCCAAAACTTGAAAGTGTTTAATGTGCCCACTGCAGAGGAGCTAATACAGTAACCTTAAAATGACAGCGGTCAATATGGGAAGGTGACTGGGAAGTAGTGAAAAGGTCTGGTAGAGATGAATCCATTCAGGTTGTAATATACATGTGCATGGAAGCAATGCTAGGAATTGCTCTGTATAGCTTTCCTTATCTCAAACTAGCAAAAACACTATGTCTTTCTTATTATTGCTTATGTCTTCTCTTCAACAAAATTGAAGAAGAAGACAGAACAGGTTCTGCCTGGAAGTGAGGGGGATTTTAGGGGAGAAGGAGGGGGTGGGAGGCAGGGGGAAGAAATGGCCCAAACAATGTATGCACATAGGAATAAATGAATAAAGAAAAAAGTGTTTTAAAATGAGCTCAACAAGGGCTGCAAAGAGATGCTCAAAGAGGATCTCAAAAAGGAGCTCACAGAGGAACTCATGGAGGCACCTCAAGAGAAGCTAAGAGAACATACAAAAACAAAGAATACAAGACAACACAAATAAAAAACTTAAGACTTAGAAACAACTAACTGAACTTTGAGAGGACTTCAACAAATTCCAAAATGAAACTAAGGAAATTAAAAAAAAAGAGAGAGATATGAAATAAAGAAGGCACCAGAAGATATTAAAGAGGAGTTTAACAAAGGTATAAAACCTCAGAAAAAAAATAATCAAACTTATAAATCCTGGAAATAAATAGTTGCTTAAATTAAATAAAAAATACAGTTGAAAGCCACTCCAACAGACTAGAACAAGTGGAAGACAGAATTCCAGGGCTTGAAGACAAAACAGACATTAAAGAAGAAACAGAAGAATTCTTAGACAAAAAGACTCAAGAGCTGCCAAAGGAATACTAAAGAACTCAGTGATTCCATCAAAGACCGAGCCTGTGAATCATGGGCACTGAAGAAGGAGAGGAGATGCAAGCCAAAGGTATACATAATATAGTCAACAAAATAATTGAAAATTTCCCAAATCTTGAGAAAGAGATGCCCATTCAGGTATAGAAGCTTCTGGGACACCAAACAGACATTACCAAAATAGAATTTCTCCACAGCATATTTTCGTTAAAACAATTAGCACAGAGAACAATGACAGAATATTGAAGGCTGTAAGATGGAAAAATAAAAAAACATATAAAGGTAAACTCATCAAAATAACATCAGATTTCTCAACAGAAACCTTAAAAGTAAGAAGGGCATGAAGTGAGGTATTTCGAGCACTGAAAGAAAACAATTTTAGTCCTAGGATGCACTAAACCACCATAAGAAAGGGACTAAGGTAGAATGAAGAAAATTAGAGGAGATGAACCAATTGGGGTTATAAAACATACATACAAGGAAACTCCATGCATAGTTACCTTTATCTCAAACAAGCATAAATGTCATTTTTTTCCTTTTTTCTTCTACAAAATCAGAGAACAGGAGAACAGGAGGACAGAACAGGTACTTACCCTGGAACAGGGGGGGAAGGGGTAAGTGGTGGTACCAGTCAGAGGGGGAAGGTGGTGGGAAAAGGGGGCAGGAGGGTGAATCTGGTGCAAAAAATATGTAGAAATGTATGTAAGTAGAAAAATGATTCCACTGAAACCATTCCAGGAATGGGGTGGGGAGATAAAGGAGAGCAGAAGAGGGATCAGCTCAAGTATGATATGTCTGATACATTGTAAGAACTTTTGTAAATGCCATAATGTATCCTGTCCTAGCACAACAATAAAGGAAAAAAATAAGGTCCAATATTAGTGAACTTTTGGTCCATTATCTCATTTAATCTTTACAACAGCCCTTTGAGGTAGGAAGTATTTTACAGTGAAGGACACTGAGACTCAGAAAAATAAATTCCCCATGTTGTACTGGAAGTTGGTACTGGGTTCATTTGATTCTGTGGCTCATAAATTCTTTAATATCAGAAGTACTTCTAAGCGAATTTTTAAAAAATACCACACAACCCAATGCTTTTAAAAGCTACATCAGGGTAAATTCTAGACTGATGCATTTATGATCACATTTTTTATAATGCTTTATAGCTTATCCAAATCTCTGCTAACATTTTACCAGGGTATATCATTTAACATGCCCACTGAAGTCTCACAACACCACCACAAGGTAAAAAATAGTATAATCCATATTTTGTGATGAAGAAATTGAAACTTAAAAGAACAGGGCTCTACTGACACCACACAACGAAGATTCACTCAAGTCTTCTGATTCTAATCTTAAGCAAAATGTTATGGTGTCTTCACTTAAAGCAAAAAGTAAAAATTTGTCTTAATCAGTAATGACTGATTCCTTACTGATTGCAATTCTTAATAAGGGAGGCCACTTCTGACAAATACCTGGCACTTGGCCAACAAAAGAAGTGATAATTTATCATCTGTTTAGCAAATACTTACTGAAGCTACTTACTAGGTGAGCCAGGTGCTGTTCCAGACCAGTGGCTTACAAAGCAGACAAAATTCTTGCTCTGTCAGTCTGTATCTCTATCCTGAAAAGTTTACTTACACGTGCAAAAGTTAGGCAAGTCTCCTAACATTTAGAAAATATTATCTGCACCACCATCTTTAGTTTGTTTGTGAGACAGGTCACTGCACAGCTAAACTCCTGAGTGCCTCAAAGAAAGTCTTCAGGTTATCCACTAGGAATCGTGTTCTAGCCACACTGTTGAAATGTGTGCCGTTGGCCCCAAGAGGGACTGGAGGAATGAATCCTTTTAAGTCATTACCCCAGACAGATAATCATAAAATTATTCGACTTTCATTGCACATACTAACTGTAAAAACATAAAGAATAAGTGGGGAAATTTAAGTGTAGTCCTGAAGAAAGAACACTGACTCAAAAATAACAAGGGCAGCCCTGAATACAATGCCAATTCATTTAAACCAATTTGCTAATATACTCTGCAAGCCAGCACTGAACTTCTCAGGTAAAATTAGTGGGTCCTTATTCTTTGTTTATCCCTAGCACCTTGTGATGGCAAACAATGTGATTAACAGCATATCTGTGTGCACCTTTAAGGAAGTACAATGTGATCAAGAAGTTGAATCAATGGACTTTCTTATTTTAAAATAAGAGTAATCCTCTCTAACTCTAAATAATGACAATGAAGATCAGTATAACAGTGCAAAAGAAACTAAAAGACAGAGCAGGAAAGTTAAACATGTTTCTTACCTTTAAAGACAGCGATTTAGCTAGAAAAAAGTGGTCTATGTCAATAACAGAGGCTAAAAATCCAGCTAAAATGATTTCTCCAACATCAGCCTTCTTCTTGATTCCAATGACTATCGCCCATGACCACATGCCAATCACACCGTGAATGGCATTATCAGAGAGGGAGCGAAGCCATTCACTTTGATGAATTATGGAAAACTGAAGAAGCTTGTCTGCTACCATGCAAAATATCCCCAGACCAAGGCTGGAAATAATAGATTCAGTGCTACAAGACTGGAGCAAGGCACGAGTCTTGTCCATTTCAGATGCCATCATAAACAATATGTCAGTATATACTTAAAGCCATTAGGAATGAACAGTCTCTTCTTCTTTTCATCCCCCGTACTCTAAAATAGGAAGCAGAGAAAAGTATCAATGGAGATTGTGGACTGCCATATAATACTTAAATCAATGTCAGCAATAATTCTACAAACACTAAGCCAAATTGTAAAATCTAGTTAGCCTTGCATGTTACATCAGGATGCCATGTAATCCAAGCATTGTGGAAACTACAGCTTATAGTGTAGTGAGAATTTCAGGTAGCACACCTGACTATAATCTGTTGCTTGGAAGACATCAAATAATTTTCTCTCTCAGAATGCATGTGATACAGCAGGGGGCTTCCATTGTGTCTGTGTATCCAGTAACTATTTTTCAAACTCTTGACAATAATATCCCTGTACTTTGGGAAAACTGTTTATCCCAATACTAAACTCCAGAACTGTCCAGTTAAGAGTTCTTGCCTCCCTAGTAACAATGACTAATGTGGTGATGAGGTTCACCCAAGGTGAGCCCATCAGACTCCTTTCCAGAATTTCACTAAGTGGAGCTGATAGGATCAGCTTTTTCTTGGAAGTCATGAGCTCCAGTAAATGAAACAGCCTAGGAAAAGAAAATCCTAACAAAACACAGAAAAAAGGTAAGAGAAACATGAGATCATGAGGACATCAAATCCTTAGGCCCAATATCTAAGGTTCTCAGAGTTGCCCTACTTCCTGCAGCTCATTTCTAAAAGCCACTCCAGCATTTCCCTCCAAATTCCATTTTCATTTATCTCTAACAAAAAAAAAATCTCTGATTGAGATATGTATATATACAAGTATAATTCTTTACTGAGTTCTTACTTGGAACAGACGACTGAAATCATTTGCCCAGCTATAGTTTTTAATATTGTGTGATGCCTGAAGGGTTTATTTATTTTTTTGCTTTTTATTATTTTCTCTCAATTCTGAGACTAAGTAATGAAATGATTTATTGAAAGTGACTCAACTTTCATTCTGCAATAAAAACTGTGCACAGATCATTATATACCTTTTGAATATAAAAATAATTATACTAAGTAAAATAAGTCAAAACAAATAAGTATATAAACTCCATAGAACTGTAGAACACAAAGCAAGAACCCTAATGTGAAGGATGGACTTTAGTCAATAATAATGTATCAATATTGATTCATCAACTGTAACAAATGTAAATGTTAATAGTAAGGGAAAAGGGTACAGAGGAATGGAATATATGGATACTTCCTGTGAGTTGGCGCAATTTTTCTGTACACCTAAAACTCTGCTTAGGTTTATAAAGTTTATTAATTAAAAAATTAACAAAATCTATCATTTTTCAAAAATTAAATAAATGAAGTAAACATGGAAACATGTTATGATTCTTTCCCCTCTTTTGCAGTGCCAGGGAACCTAGGGCCTTGCACATGCTAGGATAATTGTTAAGTCTAGGTGTGGATGTGGTGCAGTTCATTGTACTGTTTCTACTTTTCTGTAGGTCTGAAATTTTCATTTAGAAATGCTTTCAAAAAGAATACATAGTATGATTCCACTTATATAAAATTCTAGAAAATGCAACCTAATTTACAGAGACAAAAAAAGCAGATCAGTGGTTGTCTGGGGAAGGAGAAGCAGGCAGGGCTGAGAAGGCAAAGGAAATTTCTGGAGATTCATATGCTGATTATCTTTGTGGTGATAATTATAGGGTTCATATTTTATATACATGTCCAGATGTACTAAATTGTACATTTTAAGTATTTACGGTTAGTTACATGTCAACTATACTCCAACAAACATGTAAAGCACTTTAGGAAAATACACTTTATTGTCAATAAAAACAACAGTCTTTCATGGAAAAGGAGCAATCTGAAAACAAGAGATTACGGAGAAGAAAAACTGCCCAACTAAAAAGTCAAACTGAAGCAATGTATAGTAGAATGAATGCTTCAAAATGTAATTAGTGGGCCAGGTACAGTGGCTTATATTTGTAATCCCAACTACTCAGGAGGTAAAGATCAGGAGGATCATGGTTTGAGGCTAGATCTGGCAAAATGTTAGTGAGACATCATCTCAACCAATAAGACAGGTGTGGTGGTGCCCTCCTGTGATCCCAGATAGATGGAAGACTATGCATAGGAACACAGAGCTCTGAGGCTGGCAAAAACACAAGACCTTCTTGAAAAATGACTAAAGAAAAAGGGCTGGAGGTGTGGCTCAAGTGGTAGAGCATGTGCCTAGCAAGCACAAGGCCCTGAGTTCAAAACCTCAGCACTGCCAAAAAAGTTTAGTAAATAGCATTTTCAAGGAATTTTCCACAGCTTATGGCAGAAATAAAAGACAAAAGAATTGGACAGTGAGAGAAAAAAATAAATTCCAAAAACAAAGAGAAAGTCCTTAAGAGTTTTCAAGTTAAAAAGAAAAAATCAACACAACACCCTAACAACAAAACACAGTTATCTGCAAAAGACAATGCAATGATCAAGCCTAGGCTCTGTGTGTTGCAGGGTGACAGTGCAGTGCTTGGGAGGCCAGGATAACGCTGCATGATTCCAAGCATACAGACTGTGGCACCTTTGTACCAATCCTAAGTTTTAAAAGCTTTGCCAAGAAATTTTAACATCAAGTATGATAGACGAGTGATTGAGGAACACTACTAAATCTCTATGAGGGACAAATAAGAAAACTTGATCAATACAGAAAGAGAAAATTTAAAAAAGGAATAAAAAACAGAAAGAAGAAAACCTTAAGAAGGAAACGCCTGCACCTCCCCCCCAATAAAAGCAGTAGTGACCAAAAATATATCAAATATAAATACAACAAGAATGTGAATGTGTTAGATTTCTCTATAAAGAGACAGACACCAGAAATATCTACTATGTTACTGTTAATAAGAAAACACTTCAACCAAAAGTCTTAATAATATATAAAATAAAGACATTAGAAAATATGTCTGGAAAATACAAACAAAGTAAAAAACAGTGGAATTATTAACATCAAACATATGTCAAGATAAAATGATTAATTAGGACTAAAGAGGATAAACATTATACAAGGACACATAAAAATATATATAAGATGTTTACTTATCAAACACTAACAGCAAAATATATAAATTAAATCAAGTAATGAAAAAAGTAGGGATGATAATCTGAATAATATAATTAAAATTTTATTTCATACTCAGAGAACTTTGAATTCTATAAAGATTACAAATTCTTTTCAAATGTCCATGGAACATTTATGAAAGTTAACTACACATTAATCACTACTCACCCACAAAAAAGAAAGTCAATAAAATCTAAAGTGGAAATATGCAGGCTAACTCCTCTGACCACAATGCAATGTAGTTAATCACTTTTTATTTAAAAGAAAAATGTAGCAGGCTAATTAGCTGAAACAAACTAAGCTGAAACAGTGGTGTCCAAGATAAATACATTAGTTTCAGATGAAAAGAATGCCTATCCAAGAGAACCAACTGAACACTGTTGGAATTTAAGCTGAAAAGTGTGGCTAGTTCAAGAAAGATATTATAATGCCGGGCGCTGATGGCTCAGGCCTGTAATCCTGAGGCAGAGATCAGGAAGATCGTGGATTCAAGCCAGCTCAGGCAAATAGTTCCTGAGACCATATCTCAAACTCTTCAGAAAAAAAAGGGCTGGTGGAGTGTCTCAAGGTGTAGGCCCTGAGTTCAAACCCCACTACCACAAAAAAGGAAAATATAATAACATTTAGTAAAAAAAAAAAAAAAGATTTGCTTATCTTTCAAAGTGTTTATGCATTGTAAACATTTCAGGAAAGAAGAAAAAAGCTTAGAAAACAAGGACTCTTGTCTACTTTGTTCACTATACCCTCAGCAAATATGGGTGCTAAATACATGTGTTGAAAAAAACCAATGAAAAATTATCACACATCATGTCTGTTATGCAGTAAGTATTGTATTAAATACAGTTCTTAAAAGGCATTTAGTAAAATATAACATCTATGTCTGGGAACTTGCAGTTTTTTTGTCTTCATGTGATAGCTCTATTTTTTTATTTTTCTAATTTTTATTAGCATATATTCATTGCACAAGGGGATTCATTGTGTCAATTCCCAACAGCCTTACATTATACTTTGGTTATATTGCTCCACCTTCCCTCTCCCCCAAAACTCCTCCCTGCTGCACATAAAAGCAATTTCAAGAAGTTTCATGTTCCAAATTTTGCATATGTATATGAAGTCCATCAACCATATTTCCTCACCTTCATCTCCTCCATTCTCCCTTCACCCACAGGTACCCTCCCTACACTGTACCTATTTTATAGTCTTTCATTTTTAGGGAATTTGCATTTTTAGCAAGTACACATACCAGATAATTTTTATGTTCACTAAACATTAAGAACTACAAAGTGACATTTCCCAACCACTAAAAACAAATTCATAAAATAAAAAGTAATTGACTAGAGTTCTCATGTCTTTGTACTATGTTAACTCAGCTACATTGGAATTATAGTTCTCAAATTTTCCTTCCTGTGTAGTTCTGCGTGGTGCTGGCTGCAGGAGACATTCTGCATGTGATTTGGAAAGCACAAATGAAGCAGCAGCCGTGTTTTTTTGGTCTGATGGTCGATGAACACATTCTGCAGAACATGCACATGTTCTTGCTGGTCTGTTAGCTCACCTCATTGGCTTGGGGAAGCAGGTGGACCTGCAGCTTGTACTACCACCAAATCTTCCTTCAGTTTCTCCAAATACTGGGCCTGTGTGGTGTGCAGCTCCAGGGTCCAGAGTCAGCCTCTCCTGCAAGTTACCCAAAACATCAAATTTGGAGTTGGTGAGATGCTAACTAGGGTTCCATTTTATTCCCAAAGGTTTCAGTTTGTCTTTGCTTCCATTTGCATCCAGTATCCCTGCTAGCCTAGCTGATCAGAAGCAACTTTGAGCTGAACTATAAACCCAGAGGCAGCAGCCTACACAGGCTGCATTACCAGCTCCCATGATTCCGTAAGGTCTCCCTTTTTCTTTAGCATGCAAAACAGCTCTGCTTCTTTGATGGAATCTAACTGATACACAGGCTATGGCATTTTATTGCACAAGATAATATGGATGGTATTATTCCCTTCAAATTATTCTACAAATTAAAAATTGATTCTAATTAAAATCAACAAAGGATTTTCTTTTTCTAAATTTTATTTCAAAGAGTAAATGCTAATAAACTTTTGAAAAGACACAGTAATGTGAGTTCTTCAAGGTAAATACAAAGTTCTGAACCAGACCATGAACGTGTATAATTGGGGGAATGTGTGCATAAATTCAAATCGGTAGAGGAATGAACTATTACTTAACACAGCTCCTGTTGTCAGTTGGGAGTTCTTAAGTGCATGGAACAGAAAACAATGGCAGTACAAGCAAAAACCAAAATTTATTAAAAGGATTTGTTTGGTGAACACATTTCTGGCATCTATTTCATTCAAACTACTACTGCAGATATTTAACTTCTCTGGCATAGATTCTGAGTGTGAGAAAGAGAAATTTAATAACTGTATTCCTCTATCATTTATTGTCTCTGACGAGGGCACTGCTATGGTTTGGATACGAGTTGGGTGTTCCTCAAAGGTTCATCTGTTTGGAGGCTCGGTCCCTACCTCTCAGAGGCTATTGGGAGGAGGTTGGACCTTTAAGAGGTGGGGCCTAGTGGGAGGTTCTGGGGTCACTGAGGCCCCTGTCCTAGAGATTAAAGTAGTTTTGGTTGAACTCTGGGCTTTGCAAGCTTGAGCCACTGTGCCAGCCCCTTTTGCATTGCTTATTTTTGAGACAGGATTTATGTTTGGGCCAGTCAAGATCTCAATCCTCCTATTTGTGCTTCCTGCAGTAGCTGAAACCACAGATTTGCCCCACCTTGCCCAGTCATTGGTTGAGATGGGGATCTTCTAAATGCTCTGGGGCTGGCCTCCAACCACAATCCTCATCTCTGCCTCCGAGTAGCTAGGATTACAAGTGTGAGCCACCGCGATGACCTGGATGCCAAATCTAATGTGGATAAGTCGCAAAGTGTGGAAACACAAATGTTGCTCTCTTTCCTGAAACTTTATAGCCATCTGAGTTCTCTGCACATGAAATGTTTAGTGCTTACGACCCCTACAAATAAAACATACAACTATGAATTTCAATACGTTTCAAATTCCAAATTCCCAAGTCGTGCTTTTCTGAGGATGGAGTGATGCAGTAACTTTTAGAATGTCAAAACTGGAGCAGGAAGCCCTGGTGTTTGCAGGCAGCAGCGGTGTCACACAGCACTGAAGCCGCTAGGAACCCGGGGAGCCACAGCGCGTCCACCTCTGAAGCATGGCAGTGGGCTCGCGGGCCGACTCCTGCCCCGGGCGAGGCAACGCCAGCGGAGGCCCGCGGGGCCCAGGAGCCGCCGGGGCTGCGGGGTGGAGCCCACCCGCGGGTCACGCATACCCTGCGGACTCCCGCGCGCCTGCCCTCCCACACGCACTCCCCACCCGCAACCCCGACCTCCCAGACTGCAGTCTCGGGTGGACCCCGCCTCGGCCTCCCTCGGGACGCAGCTTGGCCTCCACTCGGTTCGCTCTCAGCAAGTACCGCGGCGCTCAGTCATACCCACCCTCGGATGTCCCCACACGCGAGCCACCCGGAGGACAGAGGCCCCGCCCCCGGCCGGCACCATAGAGACGCCGGGAGCCGGCCAGAGCGGCACCTGCGCGCGACGCGAGCCGAGAGCATGCCGGGATGCCCGCCGGACTCCGAGGGGAGAGACGGGGTGTCTCGTCCTCGTACGGTCCCTTGGGTTCACCCTCGTTCCTCCACAAAGCAACCTCTGGGCCGCCAAGTAAGACGCGGAAGGCGCCGTGTTGGCCTCCGCCTCTCAAACCTGAGGGTTCGTTTCTTGGCTTAGCCGACGCCGACTGCGGGTTGTGCCGCCGACGTCTCCCCGACGCAGCCAAGTGACGGCCGGGAATCTGGGACCAAGAGGTGGGGCCTCCCCAGCGCTGGACGCACGGGCCCTCGGGGTCTCAGTAGTGTGCAGTTGATGTTGCCAACCTCTGTCCGTAGGTCCCTCAGGGCCGGCGACGGAGAGCACTTCACCGCTGCAGACCTGACGCTCTGCAGTCCGCCCCGTGGGGATTTCGCCACCCGTCTTCGCTCCCACGCTGCTGAGCGTTGGCAGCTGGGCTTGTGGACAACGACGACGTAGCTACAACACTTAATCACGGCTACTAAATATCCACGAGGCGAAGAGGCGACTGCATTCGGGGTAGCTGACTGCAACTGAGGGCAGGCAGGCCCAGCCCCTCCTGCCTGTGTGGTGGGCGCTGTCCCAGCACCAAGGACACATCTAGCCCTGGAAAGCACTGCCCGAAACAAGATGCCCAGACATTTCTCCCCTTCATACCCACCGTTCTCAAAACAGAGACCTGTAAAGCAAAGGCAGGAGAATTACGTAGTTGAAAGTGATCACAGAAACTTGGAATCCTCAACATTAAGCAAACTCCTAGGCCATTTCATAAACCTCAAGGTTTCCTGATCAGAACTTTTTGTTGCTCGCTACACTTTACAATTTGGAGCGCTTTTAGTCATGTTAAGAACCAGTTTTCTGTCTTAATAAAAATTTAGCATGATCCTTAGGCAGCATGGTTTATGTCAGTCTAGGCCTTCTAGTACTGTTGAGAGACAGCAGATTAGACTTTTATCTACTACCTAAAGGCACAGATTAATTTATACAACACATAACTGAGTGCTCTCAGTGTGCCAGGCACTGTGGTTACAGGCTACAGAACGACTATGGAGCTCGAGTTCTAGTAAAAGACATTGACCACAAGAAAACAAAAGCTGGACAGATTGCACTAAGAGTTGGGAGAGGGCAATTTTATAGTTAGGTAAATATTTTTGCCTAGACCTGAAGCCCAAAGTGAGAAGCTAAAAGGGGATATGCCCATTCGTTGATACTACTCCTGATCTACTTACTCTTTTTCACTTCATTCTCCTGGTTTCCTTTGGTTCTTCTCTTTTATGTGAAGAGTCTTTTATAGAAAACAGAAAATGGTAGGACATTTCTGGTTGTATTTCTTATCATCTTGAAATCTTTTTAAGACGTGTGCTTTTGTTTTTTTCCAAAGACAAAGGTGTAATAAACAGCACTTTTGGTTGGCTGTTTTCTCTGAATTTCACACACTAACCAGCAATGTTTTTTTATATGTTCAAAAAAAATGAGAGAGTATCTAATTTGTGAGAAACTTGAAAATTAATTATGAATACTCCACAAGACAAAAACAGCAAAATTTATAGTTTTACATTTTTTCTCATAAATCTGACATGAGTTAAATGAAACAGTTCAAAATAGTTCTTTATTAATAAAATATATTTTTAAAATTCACAAGTTAGGTAAAATAAAACCAAAGTTAAATGTTAGTTATTACACAATCATTGCTCAGAAGTAATATATGCAATTTCTTCCTTCCTAGTAATTTTATAGCAGTCACTTGAAACTTTTAATTATATTTGTAATAATTCCATTTTTTACTTTTTAGAGTTTGATAGAAGAAAGTCAATATCTTGAAGAATTTCTGAAGTTTTTTTCAATGCTACTGATACTCTCTTTTCATCAACTTCTTCAAGCAGGGTTTCTGAAGAACACTGTTCATTTGTCTTGTTAGAAGTCTGATTGAGGACACCACTATTTTCCAGTAGCACTAGGTTAGTTAGTTAAGGAGCTTTCCCCCACACTTTTCATTATATAATTTTATTTTCAGAAAGTCTGGCCTTCATATGAAAATACTGTTTTTCAATTGGAAGACAGACCTCTTTGGTTGGGATTTCAGAATTTATGGAGTCTACCCCCTTATAGGTGAGGAAACTACAGTAGAAGCAAGGGGAAAGCAGAATATATATGCATGTGTTTGGATGGAGGTTTGGTGATAGGAAATTAAAGAATTAAAATGTCAGTAACTTTTTTTTTTTTTTTTGGCAATACTGATGTTTGAACTCAGAGCCTTGGGCTTGCTAGGCAGGCATTCTACCACTTGAGACACTCCACCTTAGTAACATTTCTTAATCTCCAACTTATGAGAATAAAAAGGAACAAGAATAGGGATTATAAGCAATCAGTACAGTGTCTTTATTTTTCAATTTAAAAATATCTGAAGTTGAAAAAAGTCTTTTTTGTTGCAGAGCTAGCCTGTCATTTGCGTTAGATTACAGAAAAATCACAAGAAAAAACAAATACAGATAAAAGGACTGAGAATGTAAAGAATGAAAGGTTTCATAAGAAAAGTCAGAGACACACCTTCAATGTTATAATTTAGTATGTAACTACATAAGTGCAAAGCCTTCAAAGAAGACCTTAATCCTAGTTCACTGTTTGTTTAATTTAAACCCAAGTATAAATGTTAACACGCTGTAGCTGCCATAGAAAAGAAAATACTTAACTTGCTCACTTAACAAAACTCACCAGCGTATAAGTATGGGTTAATATTTGTCATGGTTAATCTTAACTGTCAATTTGATTAGATTGACAATTGCCTAGAGATTAATACAATACACCCTCGGGTGTGTTTGTGAGGGTGCTTCCAGAGAGGATTAAGGGTGAAACCATTCGATAAACTGGGCCCCAGAGGAGAAAGCAAGTTAGTGAAAGCATTCTCTTTCTGTCTCCTCCTTGGCTGCCATGATGTGAGCTGCCCTCCTACATCCTGCCCACCATGATGGTCTGAGACCATGAGCCAAAATAAATCTTTCTTCCCTTAAGTTGCTTAGGTATTTTGTCATGGAGATAAGAAAGCTAATAACAATATTCATAAAGTATAGTCATTAATTAAGCCTAGAATGGAAAAGGTCTAATTATGTAGGACAATACATTGTGTTTAAAGGATACAATTAAATTTCTGTATCTTTTCAAGTTCAGAAGCAACAGACCTATACAAGAGAAAAAAAAAGGTAGGTTTTATTGTTTGATTCTTTTATATTCACAAATTTCAGAGTTTTAAAAAGAACCTGAAAGTTACTCTCTTTATGCCAAGTATGGTTGCAAGCACTTACAATCCTAGCACTGGGGAGGCTGAGCCAGGAGGATCAAGAGTTTGAGGCCAGTCTAGGCTAGTTAACAAATTCAAGGCTAGCCACCTTGGTCTACATAGTGAGATCCTGTCAAAAAAACAAGGATTGGGAATGTAGCTCTATGATACAGCACTTGCTTAGCATACTTAAGGCCCTGGGTTTGATCCCCAGCACAGAAAAAAAAAAAATCCCTTTATATTAAATTTATTTAACAACAAATCAACCTGACTCAACTGGTATTTACTGAATGCTCTTAAAAGCAAATGAATGAAAGTCCCAATTCAAGGACTGCTACTTCTTGGTACTAACCTGGCATACCTTCTACTTTTCCCTGTAAATTTTACTCAAACTTTGGTTTGGAAGGTCCAAGTTTTTACACAGTTAAAGGTTAAAGCATAACTATTTAATTAAATTTTTTCTTGAATACACTACCAACTCATTTCATTGTTTCTTATGCACAAAGAATTGACATTATGAGCATTAGCTCTTACCATGTTTGATGGAAAGAGACGTTGGTGCAGCTAATAGGCAGAGAGTTGCATATATAAAACTTTATATCTTTACATGTGTTCCATCTTTCTTTTCCTATCAAGCTTGAAGGAAATATGAGCAGTGGCATACAACTATAAATAATGTAACTTGACTCCCTCTATGAGGACATTAGTCTAAAAGCATGTATTTATGATGAACCAACTTCTCATGAAATATTTTTGTAAGCTCAAAAATATTTTCTGTACTCTTTTTTGACTAATATCCCTGTTTATTAAAATTATTTCATTTTTTTGGTGGTACTGGGGTTTGAACTCAGGTCCTCACACTTGTCAGGAAGATGCTCTACTACTTGAGTCACTATACTAGCTCTGATTTGTACTCCATGTTTTCCAGCCAGATAAGAAAGATCTATTTGCCTGGGCTGGCTTGAAACCGTGATTTCTGCCTCCCAAGTAGCTAGGATTACAGGCATAAGCCACCAGTGCCTAGCAACTAATATTCTTATTAAAAAGTTGAATCAATAAACTAATAATGGTAAGATAGAAAGAAATACTGAAATACAATTTAGGTAGCTATTTATTGTGCAATCTCTTTTTCTCCTTCAACCCATCCTCTTTAACGAGAAGACAAAGCACAGTGCAGATGTCTTAGGCTTTGCAAAGGGAATGGAGCCATTCCTTCTCAATCCTTTTTTCTTGCCTCTCTGCTCATCCTTGATCCTTCCACTCAAGCTGTTATTACCAACCTCACTTTCACCTATTAATATATTAAAAATTTAGAATCCCCTTAAAATTTTTCCATAGTTTTGAATTTATCATATAAAAAGAATGACTCATTTTGAAGTGAAGTTTTCAATGCAGTCTTCTGTTCTTTAGATATCTAAGTAGAAATAAATTATTTTCAAGCTTAAGTTATTAGAAACATTTCAGGAGTGAAATGTATTTAAAACAAAGATTTTTTTAGGAAAAAAGGCTCAGAGTTTATTGACACTGATTTTCAAATCTTAGTTGCTCTTCTACACATAATAATTTTTGGGTGTGTGTATTTTGGTGGTGGTACTGGGGTTTACGCTGCCAGGCAGGAGCTCTACTGCTTGAGTCATGCCTCCAGCCCGTTTTCTCTGATTATTTTTAAGATAAGTTCTTGCTTTTTCCCCAGGCTTGCCTGGACTGGAAGCCTCCTGTTTTATACTTCCTGCACAGCTGGGATGACAGGCACATGTCACCACCCCCAGCTTTTATTGGTTTAGATGGAGTTCCCCAACTTTTTGCCTAGGCTGGCATTGAACCACAACCCTCCCAATCTCAGCCTCCTAAGTGGCTAGGATTACAAGCATGAGCCAACAGTATATGGCTCATATTAAGTTTTAATGAAATATAAATACCAATTTTCTTCGAGAGTAGATGATGGATGTGTGGGCACCTGTCTTGAACTACTCTGGGTCAGTCTTCTGCACCACGATGTTACTGTTGCCACATATCTGGAATGAACATATTAAAAAAAACAGTGGATAGTGAAATCCACTAATTTGTACAATTACTGTGCACAAGTAATTATAATGAAAAGAATTTAAAAAGGAAAAATGAAATATTTAAAAATTAACTTGTATACTTTCTACAAGCATAAAAAATGGAAAAATATCATTAAATTTGAAAAAAAGGATAAGAAAAACATCTTAAGGAGGCAATTAATGGGTAATTTTCAAAATCTTTTTCACTAGACAAAGAAGAGAGGCAGGCTTTTTCTGTTACTCATTAAGAATAAAATGATTTACTTACATTCATGGTTAACAGAGATGACATTTAAGAGTCAGTATAAAGGTAATACTTTAATTTCATTAAAAGCTCAAAGTCAAATGTTTAACTTTTCCTTTTCAGTTTTTCAAAATATGAATTTCCTTAAGTTTTATAATGAAAATATCTACACATAATTAGACTATGTGAGCATTTCCTCACTAAAATTTAAACTTGAAAACACCCATTAATGCATACACATGTATACACACAAACACATGTATAGTTATTTATAATTCACTGAACATATAAAAGCATTAAGTTTAATAAGAATGAATTCTCTGAAGTGATTGACTGACACAACCAGTATCATTTGCTAAAGACACATCTTTTTGAACCAAATTATTCAAAATAGCAATTGAATGATGGAGTCCTTAGATCATAAACAATGGAGTCCACCAGAAAAATTCACTCTTGATTTAGTTATGCTAAATGCTAATGTAACTGAAATCTCTGAAACCTGGAAAAACTAAATAGATATAAATATACAACCCACAATAATTTTTACATTTGCTGTCAATTAAAACATGAAAGTAATTTTTGTTTTGGTGCTGAGAATCAAACCCAAGCCCTCACATGTGCTAGTCAATGTCCTACCACCAGCCTGAAAATCATTTTTAAAATTGATTTTCTGTACCTTTCATATGCTCCAGGATGCTCAATTTGAATTAACTGATCTTGTCCATCAGGAAAAGTTAACCTACACCAACCTAAGTTGAGACCTTGATTTACCTTAAGAAACAAGAAGGAAAGGTAACTTATTCTAAAACTAAAAACAAAAACATAAACTATCTCCTCCAACTACATTATTAATTTAAAAAATAGGAACAGATAAAGTCTCTACAATTCTGACAACTTAAACATTATAATTTACATGACTAAGGGTATTATTTTACCACTACTCATAAACATGATATCAGATAATAAAAAATAAATGTCTCTTGCTCTGAGTTACATTGATAAAAATGACTATTTGTCCCACTCTTCTGATTTTTGCTAGGAAATCCAGTAAGGTTAGTAAAGCCTTTTAACAGATTTTATACTTAAAAAATAATTTGAGATAATGCAGTATTTCATTTTTTTCTTCTGTTTTCCATGGATAAATAACCAATAAAAACATATTTCAGATTACAGATAACAGACTAGCTAATGATAATGTGTTGTGCATTCCAAAAAAGCAATATGAGATTATGAATGTTTTCACTACAAAGAAATAATAAATGTTGGAGGTGACAGACATATTTATCCTAATATCAACACTAACAACATATATGTAGATGGTACCTCATAAATATGTACAACTTTTGTGTCAATTAAAAAAATAGTTCCATGAATCTTATTCATGAAAACAGATTTGAGTCTGAAGTATACTCACCTGTCTTTTTTCAATAGAAGAGCTAAGATTCCAATTTAAGGTTAAAGTAACGCCATCTAAGAAGACAGCATGGACTTTGTCATCAGAGTAGGCAAGAAATCTTCCCACACTGGGTATAAGTGAATCTTCCAAAAGCACAGGCAGTATATTGCGAGTATTTATCTCAGGTACCTGAAACCAAGTAAATAAAACTTGCAGTAAATAGAGTTACCAGTTAATAAGATTAAAATGGTTATTAAATGAGGCAATTTCAGATTATATTCAGAGGTTTAGTAGTGTAGATTTTTTTTCTTTTTCTTTTTGCAGTACTGGGTATCAAACCCAGGGCTTTATGCATGTGAGCCAAATGCTCTACTGATAAATTATATCTCCAGTCCTTAGTACTATAGAATTCTTATGCATATTTTAACTTTTCCTGAAGTGGATACCCAAAACTATCTATATCAGAAGATGATTAAGTTCTAATATCTCTATAAAGGTACTATTTTGCTCTGAACTTTACATGGAAAATAGACAAAAATTAGGAATTCCACTAACATATAGGTTTGCAAATGAATCAGCATATGAATATAGAAATCAGTGTGTGAGAATCACTTCCAATTCAGCATTAAAGAATTTACTTCTACAGCTATAAAAATATTAAATACTGTCATTTCATGGTTTATGTTATGTTTTTACGTACTTCAAATTCAATTAATTCCCCTGCTTTCCCTCTCCATTAAAAACAAAAACAAAATGGGCTAGTTGTATAGCTCAATGGTACAGTGTGTGCTTAAAGCCCTGGGTTCAACAGCCAGCACAGGAGTGGTGGCAGGGGATTGAGAGACTATTTATAATACGGAAGCTACACAGAATAGAAGTGTAACATAGAGGCTGATGATGTAGCTCAGTGGTAGAGTGCTGGCCTAGCATGTGTACCAACTTGGCCTTGATCCCCAGCACTGGAAAAAAAAACAAAAGTGAAACATAAAAGCCTGATTTCAGTGTTTCTTTATTATATAGGTTCCTAAATAAACCAGTATTAATGCTACAAAGAATTTCTCACATGACTTAGATGAAAGCAACCTGACCTAAGAAATATGAATCTAAACAATAAAACAATTAAAAATCTTGCTTTTAAAATATTTTTAACATACCATTTTCCAGCAGCACACACGATAGTTATGGCTTAGAGAAAGCCTCACCTTGGCACAATGTTGAAGAATTCTGTTAACAGGAAAAATACTCCTTAAACATCTTCAAATCATGTTATCTTTTAATTCTAGCAACCCATCCTTGATACCATATGCCATTTTAAATGGCAAGTAAATCATTCCTTCTGAAATGTGTTGAGAACTCTTCCAGAAATCCTTCAGCCCTGACAACAGAACTACTGCTGTTTCTCTCTGTGCTAATCTTATCTAGCTAAAACTATTCCTCTAACTTTTAGGGATGAAATGACTCCATAGAGATAATTTTCAGGTCCTCCTTTAAAGAAGTGATAGATTCACAGGCCCGAAAGGCTTAGCATAGCCTAAAGATGGTGGGAAAGTGAGTCAACTTCCTAGGAAATGAAGTTAGAAACTCTGCTCCTTCAAATCTAATTTAATTCAATGATTTTTTTTCACATTTTTTGGGTGCTACTATTTAATCAACACTTTAAAAAATACAGTAGAGCCTTGGCATCTGTGAGCATATGGTTCCAAGCAGACCACCGAGGGAAAAAACCTCAAGTGCTCAGTATGCAGAGAATTCACTACTGTGCTGTGGATGCTTCATTCGTTTTTCCCACAATGCCACCCAAACTTCTGATAAAGACATGCCACCTTTCAATAAATCTAAAATTTTCATTGTATCACTTAAATTAAGTATATTATGTTCCCTTTTGGGGGTGGGGGGAATTACCATAACTTTCTCTTGTTTATTGAGTACCATTTGCTTTGGGGGAGGCATATTCTTACAAAAATAAGGGCAGGGAGACACTCAGCAGATACAACAATTCAAACACAACCAATGATAACATGGGACTGAGAGTTTCTGCACATCAATAGAGCTGTGAAAGTATGCATGGGAATTTAAAATATTTTGTTTTTGAAATTTCTATTCAATTTTTTTTTACTGCACTTGGTCAAAACTGCATATAACAAATTTGTGAATAAGGTGGGCTTACTGTGTATGAACTGAGAAAATACATGAACTAAAGAATCAAAATACATGTAGTACATGTCATCTTTAGTACACTCATAAATCTTTACTACTCTAAAGATGAAAATGTAAGAAAATTTCAAATGTATCATCAAATGCCCACTTGATCAAAGGAACAATAATGATGCCACACTTACCTAGAGAAAAGGAAATTAAGTGATTTCCTCTCAGACTTGCTCACCATATACAGATATTTCTCCATACTTAAATTTCAAAGCCAGAAGTACTCTTTTTTTTTTTTGGTGCTGGTACTGGAGTTTGAACTCAGGACCTCACGCTTGCTAGGCAGATGCTTTTACCACTTGAGCCCTCCATCTGCCCTTTTTTGTATTGGGTATTTTCGAGATAGGGACTTGTGAACTGTTTGCCTGAGCTGACTTTCAACCTCAAACCTCTTGATCTCTGCCTCCTAAGTAGCTAGGATTACAGGCGTGAGCCACCAGCAGCCAGCTCAGAAGTACTCTTGTAATAATGTACAGATTATTTTATAAATTATGAGACCAGAAAATTTGACAAGGTTTTTACAAAGACGTATAATTCCATTGCACTCACCAATTCTTTTGTTTTGTTTTTCTGACAGGGTTTTGCTTTGTAGTCCAAATTGACCTTCAAGGCTCCATTTATCCCAGGCTGGCCTCAAACTTGCCTCAGACTCCTGAGTGCTGGGATTACAGGCATGTGCCACCATGCCCAGCCCTGTTTTGCCAATTCTTAGTCCTATCCTTAGCCACAAGAAAATGCATCAAGGTTTTCAGATGTATAACACTTGGTTCAGTTAAATGTGAAGAACTTACCTGGTTGCCTGCTTAATTAGAGACCATACAGAGAGCAGACTTCCTGGTCTATCTGGAGGAAGGTTATTTATGGAATAAGTTTTTTCTTCTCTCTGAAAATTAGTTTAAAATAAAAAATCTCATTAATAATAAAACTTTGGCCCTTATTACTTAGCTATTTTTTGTTAAACATATATTTACATTATGACAAAGCAAGCACTTATTTTAATAATCTAAAGTTCATAAAATCTGTGTATTTTAAAGGCATTTTATGATGTCTTTCCATTGTCCCATTTTTTTTAAAGTATAGAATTTCACATATCCACTCAAAAGTTTTATTTTAATAGACTATAACTTATTGCTCAATTTAAGTCTTGGTTCTATGTAAATTAACATAGTATCTAAACTAATTTTCCTATGTATTACCAGGAAATTGATGACATAAGCCACTCTTTCTCCTTAAGAC